CCCGAGAAAGCGGGGTGGGTGCGGCCCCGAAACACTCGGCGCCGGCAGGAGCTGCGCGTGGGGTGTATTGCTTTCGCACAGCTGGCAAACTTTTTTGCACTTGTCCCGTGCCAGAAAATTACCTATTTTGGATTTTTTTTCCAAAGAACTTTCAAAGAAACGGACTGCACTTGCTCTTGGATGAATGTGATGGTTTCTTCACCACCAAGGCAAACGAACACTGCTGGTCTGGACTTCGGTCTGGTCGCAAGGCCGCTACAGGGTGGGTTTCCTTCGCCTTTGCTGGCCCTCTGAACGGACCCCGCCGCCTTCGCGCACGCTGAAACGCCGGATGTACCTCGTCGTAATGTGCAATCACTCCGCCAGAGCAAAACTCTGAACTCACCTTTTCCCTCAAGAGGGGCAACTACGCTGACCTTTGGATTTTAGAAGCGGATATGGAGAGGAGACAGCCGGGTTTGAAGCACTACCCCAATCACCCACGGATATTTTTGTACTTGTAGCATTGTTCTGCGTAACCCACGGGCACCTCCCTTGCTCTTCACGTGCATCCATGACATGAATTTCCTGACATGGTACATCCTTTCAGCTGAAAAAAAAGAATTCAGCTGGAACACAGCATTTAATTACCTGTTCTCAGTGAAACTTTCTGTAACACTACTTGAGTCTCTCCCCAGAACACAGGCGTCCTTGCAAGGACAGTGCCAGCTTTTATCTGAAAAAGCCATAAATGAGACCTTGGATTGCAGGCAGCCCTTATTGAAGAGGCAGGCTTTGAGATACCTTAGTATTAGCCAAACCCACCTCCAACACTGAATTTTCTTCACCTCTGGGCCTTCGTTCCCACCGGTTCTGTAGCACTAACTGTCACAGCCGGGCTCAGATGATGCTAACGATCAGTGATAAGCTCACGATGCAAACTAGGGTGGGTTTTACACTACGTGAGGCTTTATCACCGCTGTTTACAAGTGGCACCGTGCAGGTCCTAGGCCGAACGGTTTCAGAACTCCGGGAGCGTTTGTGTCAAGCAGGTGAAGGTGCTGAGGTGCAACTGAGCCTTAACCTTCGCCCAGAGTCGGGGCACGAGGAACCCGAAGTCCAGTTTTCTTTGCATTTCAGTGTAAGCACGCGTTGTGTCTGCGAGGTGTCACCTGCGAAGCACGGTATTGCTCGCTCTGAGGTCGTGTGTCTGTATTAAGCTGAAAGGTGAATTTTCTTGGTTTTAAAATTACCCCCCCCCCCCCCAAAAAAAGGTTATATATGAAAAAGATTTTTTTTTAATTGCTTACCTGTAATCTTTATACAATAAGTATATAAACTTGTTTTCCATTAATATTTGTCTGGAGTTTTTCTGTTTCTTTCTCTTAGACATTTTATTACTGGATGTTGGTCGCGGGCTCTTCACACCTCGCACCTCTTTGCTTCCCTCACTGTCGCTCTTCAACTCCATCACGTTTAATGTTGTTTTAACTGTTCTCAGCTTCTTCCAGCTCCCACAGCTCGCCTGCCCCGCCACCCGCAGAGCTGGCAGCACCGCAGAGGAGCTGCCACCCCCCAGCCACAACCTGCCCCGGCAGAGCTTCGCTCTCCGGCATCGCAGCCGCTAACAGTTCCGCGCTGTTTGTAACACGGCAGCGTTACTGTCCTGCTTTTTTGTTCTTTAATTCCCAGACGTCTGGAGGAGGCCGGCTGCTGCCTCTCCCCAGCAGCGCGGCAGAAAGGGCTGCCTGGGTAAAGCAGTCTCCTGCCCGTGTTACTCGCTGAGTAGCAGCAGCTCCTCGTGAGCTGTGCGTAGGCCCCCCCCGTTCTCTTCTGGGTCACGGAATGATTTCTGCAGAAAGTTAATACCAAAAAAAAAAATTGGTTTGAGCATTCCCATCTTCTCCCCGCCGTGTTTCCTCCTGGCCTCACAACCACCAGCACACTGGGTTGGTTTTTCCCCTCCTCTGTGCACAATGCAAACACTGGCGTTTACACCCCCCCCTGCTGCTGCTTTGCCGTCAAGCACAGCCCCTGCTCCCCGACACCGCTCGCGCAGCCCCGGCGTGAGCCACTTCACCACGGGGAGACCCCCACAACTGCCACCACTTGGCTCAGGTCACAACAGCAAGGGCAAAAGCAGGATCACCCGCACCTTAAGCTGCCTCTTGCTTTTTTTTTTCCTACTTAAAGGGAGGAAAAAACACACCACCACAGCCTTACTCGATTCCCTCCAGGATAAATCCCATCCACCTGCGACCTAGGAATCTCGCACTGCCACAGGGAGAGTGCACCAGCGCTCTGCCTGCCTCAAACAAACGCAAAGCCCGGAGCGGCCGGGGTAGGAACAGCGCCGCTGCAGATCACCGTTTGCAGGGCCTGCCGCCAGCACCTCTCCCGTGAAGGCGCTGCCTGCCCGCTCGCTCGCAGATAGGTGTAAATCCTGCTCCGAGTTGGCACGGGTCCTGCACCACACTCCTGGGGCAGGTGCTGCTGGGCAGGAGGTTCCATCAGCCCAGGGCTCGGATCAGGTGCGCCACAGCTGAGCAAAACCCTGGACCAAAAGGAGGGGGGGTCGGAAGGGAGAAGAAAAGGGAAAAAAAACAACCACCCCAAATCCCACCGAGCCCTCTGTGGCTCACGAAACAAACCCTCAATCCTGCCCCTTGTTCAGTTCTGCCAACAGACACTGATTTTCCAGGTGCCTGACCACAGGGTCGGGCTGCGGGTCCCAGGGCTGGGACAAGCTGGTGCTTCTGCCTGCCGGCCGCTTTGGAACACAGACTCACAGAATGTTGGGGGTTGGGAGGGACCTCTGAGGGTCACCCAGCCCAAACCCCTGCCGAAGCAGGGTCACCCAGAGCAGGCTGCACAGCACCGCGTCCAGGCGGGGCTTGAATATCTCCAGAGAAGGAGACTCCACAGCCTCCCTGGGCAGCCTGGGCCAGGGCTCCGTCACCCTCAGAGTGAAACCATCAGATGAGTCAAGAAAAAGTGCAAGGAAAGTGGAAAAACATCAGAACACCACTGAAGTGTTTCAACTGGCTCCTCCTTTTCCAAAACACCGTTAATGCTGAGCAAGGCAAAGCCTGGGCAACACCCGCCAGGGAGCTGGAAATGGCACTGGGGCGCAGGTAGGACTGCCAGCCGGCCCCCGGCTTGAAGAGGTAAACAAATCCACAAGTGAGGGACACACGCACGCACAGACACGAGTGCATACAGGTAACAGAACAACCCACTAGACTGAGGCCATGTCTGCTCTAAAACGGACACATTCATTTAATTCATGACTTTTCTATTCTTGTTTCCACCCTCCACTGAAACCACCATCAAACTCCTTGCACCGCTTGCTTCCAGAGTCCACTAGAAGGAAAAAAACCCAATGCTCTGGTCAAGATGTTCTTCACAACCTGCTGCTGCAGTTGACTGCAGTAACCCCAGCCTGCCGGCACGCGCCCACCAGCGGACCCCACGGCAGCGGTGCTCCAGGTCAGAGAAATGACACCAGGGCAAGCGGGCTCACCGGCTCGTCCCCCGCTGCTGTGCCAGACCCAGCTGCGCCCGCATCTGAGGGGGCTTGGCAGAGAGGAACAGCCGGGGTGGCCTGTGGCCGCCAGCTTGTCGTACTCACCCCTGTTCCAGCCTGGACTGCAGCAGAACGCGGCTCCCAAGCAGATCTGCGTGGCCAGCGATGCCGCGGCAGCGACGCAGCCGAAGGACTCCACAGTTCCCCGGCCGGGACCACTCGTGCCCAAGGAAGACCACAGACAGCTGCTCATCTTGCACCAGGTTCTATGTATTATCAGACCGGCTGACAGATAATAGCATGTCTTCGTTAGCAGAAAGCACAACGCTGAGCAGCAATTGTTAAACACAAACCCCAGCCTCGTGTGCGCAAGGGCCCGGCTCTGCGAGCGGCGCGGCTCCCCCGATCGCCAGCCCAGGAGGGCATCCCCCCCTCCCCCCCCACAGCAGCCAACCCCGGCACCGGAGGCCCTCCGCACCCGACCTCTCAGAAACATTTTAAAAAAAACACCCAAATAACCAAACACCGTACCCTGCTGCCACGGTAGCCAACAGCAAGCACACCAGAAAATAAAAAAAGAGAGAAGTTTGCTCCTCACGTGAAAAAAATATCAAGACAAATTGCCTTTCCGTCCCGTAACGCGCAGTTCTATCGAGGCGAACAGTTCAGCTGAGAACGCCAACATTTCTGTGGGTTGGTTCGTTTTTATACAGTGTCAAGCGGTTCATACCCAGGTTTTTCACACCTGAAGTCCCTCAGAGGCCTGTGCTTTGTTTTCTGGCCAATGGAACCGGCCTGCAAACAGCTCGCCGGGCTTCGCTCTCCTGCAGGAACAACTCGAGGCAGTGGGTGAAGCAGGACCCGACCAACTCCGCCCACGTTCCCTTCGGGCGGCGCAGGGACAAATAAACCCAGGCACCTCCGCTTTCTCTGCCAGCTTCCCAGCTTTCGGACAGCCAGGACACCAGCTCGGGGCTGGGAGGGCTGCTCCGAGGGGCTCTGCTAAGCTTCGGGATGGGTGGATGGGAGCCAGCAGCAGTTGTCTCTGGGAGCGCGACCAGGGAGGAGACACCGGCTCCAGTGCACTGAACGTGTTTGGAAACCACCTTCATTGCGACGGGGATCCCCTCGGCAAACCAACCCCAACAGCCCCAACGCTCGCCTGCTGTTTCCCTCAGCAAACCGATGAGGAGTGACAGCTACGCAGCAGCCCAGTCACAGCGATCCAGAAAGGGGGTAACACTCGTACACCTCTATATATTAATCTTCATAAATACAGTATTCTACATGAGGAACTGTAGAAAGACGTCACTCAAGGTTGGTTTTTTCCCCACAAAAGCTCGCGAGGGCTCTTGTTTGCATCTCTGCCTTTTTTCTGCCAGGCTGGAGCACCCGTTCTCCTTCCTCCCGCATCTCCCCCCGTCCTCCGCGCCTGGTGAGCTGTCCGGTCCTACCACCGTGTCTCCCCCGTTGAAGCAGCGGGCAGGACACCACGCGAAGAGCTGCTCTACAACTTCCAAGGGTGGAAAGCTAAAGTGTGAGGCAGGTTCAGCTGTCAACAGGGTCCTGGGGGGAAGCGGGCAGTCATAGCTCATCCCTGGAGGACGGCGTGTCGAGAGACGACTGGGAAGGCAGCGCGTCCTTGTTCTGGGCGTCGCTGTGGATCTTGCCCTGCTGCCGGGACTTCCAGGAGTGCGTTCTGTCCCAGTCCGTGGACACCGTCTCGTTGTCCCAGATCGTGGAGGTCTCTGTGTCGCTGAGGTAGCCTGGCTGCCCAGTGTAGTGGGTGGGGTACACGAGCAGGGGTTCTGCTGAAAAGGCTTTCAAGTCTCTGGACTCGTAGTACTCCATGTACTTCGCTCTAAAGAGGAGAGAAAACATGTCAGTAACACAGCCAACGTTCACCAGTGCCACCTGTGAGATACAGCCAACCCACTGGGCAAACCGGTCCCGGGGAGCAGAGGCTGTTGCTGGGGCGGAGTCCGGTTCTGCAGCCAGCGCCACGTGCCTTACAACCACACGCAGCCCGTACAACCGCGGCCTCCCGACGGGCCCGGGTCCCAGAACGAGCCCAGGAGCCCTGCGCCAGGCAGGGACAACGACCCCTCCGCAGGGGGTCTGCCGCCTCCTCCGACCTGCGCCAGGAGCTCTGCTGCAGCAGCCCAGAGCTGGCTGAGGATCCCTCAGCAAGACCCAGCTGACGTCAACCTGAGCGACGACCGCGTCCGACTTACACAGGGTGCTTGTTGTACATGACCGGCAGAAATTCATCTACGGGCAGCATCTTGCTGAAAGGCTCCGCCCCGATGAGTTTCCGAGCCCCTTGGAAAGAGATTGCGTACCCCAGGGTCCAGTACGAGTAATCGGCTTCCACCAGGTTCATGACGTTGGGAACCGCTTTCTCGGGCTCCTGCACCTGCATCCTCTTCCGGCCAATGTAGCTGAAAGGGTGAGCAGACCGCGGTAACGGGAACCGCAGCCATTCGGCAGCGGTTAGGACCACGCCACCGCTCATGCCACGCAGGGAAGGGCACAGGGTCAGTCCAAGCAGTAATCCCTGGCCAGGCTCACGG